CCCCAAAACCCCAAAACCCCAAAACCCCAATTTTAATATCCTTAATTGAATCATTCAAGAGATTTTATTCGTCATTATCAAAGATTTGGAGATTATGTTCTAAGACTGCCTCTGGGAACTCTATCCGATGAGTGGATGGGAACAAGTCTCTAGATATTAAAACACAAAACTACTCAGTATTTTCACTGCTTGAGATACCATCAATCCAAGTCTTTTCCTTGTTGACATTCAAAGGTTGATTTTGAGGTTTCTTAAATGGAGACATAGACTTTGAAACGAATGGAATCTTATTTTGACTCTGATCCCTTTTACGTTTCTTAAGAGTTTCCTTTGCAACAATAGAAGAGCCGACTCATTCAATATTGCTCTTCCTTCTTTTAGGAGGGTTGTTCAGACTAATACTTCTCACAAGATTTGATGGGTTTGTATGAATACCTTCAAATGAGAAATTGAGCTTTTTCATTATCATATCAATATTCTTTGAGATCTTATAAAGTTGGGCTTTGTCACCTGTCGCATCAACTTGCTCTGCCAAGTAAGCATTTAACTTACTGATTTTATTTGAGCAACTTTGCTTTTCTGCCTTTCGGAATTTTCCCTTTGACTAAAGGTAAGTAGCAATTGTACATTTTGGTAGCATTTTCCTAGGTGGAGAATCTTGGTTATCACTAATTTGTCCCCCTTGTTCTCTTTCAACACTATTTTCAGGTCTCAAAGGGTTAATCCGAATCTGCATGTTCTTGATATCATGCTCTATCAAATTAGGCGAGAATATCTGAGAAGGCAAATCATTATTCTATCAGTTTAGACCATAAATTATTACATATTTCGACCCTTTGGAATTTCAAAAACTTTCCTTCTTCTTGTTAGACTGTCATAGTTGGGTAATAGATTTCCTTGTCTGATTCTTAGATGAACATAATGCAACTCCTTGGGTTTGGATCTCCAAGATCTGAGCAGTTTTCTCCATATCACTGTTTCTTTTCTTCTGCATAGATTTCATTGAATTTATCATTTGTAGGGATGGAATCTCAGTTCATTCTAAAACTTATATGAACAAAAGTACCATTATTAGAGTTTGTGTCATCATAAGGTTTCTGAATCTCTGGAATTTCAAGCCTCTCAGTGGACATACTTTTGCCTATAGGAGTATGTATACTTTCAGCAGGATTCCTATCCTCTTCTTCAACATAATCTAAAGATATTTCTCAGGCATACCTGGAATAGTCTGACATGCAATCCCGATAGGATTTTGTTTTGCTTTAACTTTATTGACAATTAAGACGGGTTTCATTTTCTGATGCTTCTTATAGTCACTGTCCATCTGTAAAGCATGCTGGTTAGGAGTTTTATAATTCTTGTTCCCTTTCAGTCCCTTTAGGAGCATGAATTTATTTAATCCTAGCATCTCTTTCTGAGTTGACAGCGAAGTTAGAATATTTTTGTCTTGAAACTTGCGACTTAACCATTAGAGGAAGCTCATCTCCTTGGTAAGTCTGAGTTTGAGCATTTATAATATCCTTCCTGATAGATACTCCAAAGCCTAGGTTTATCAAAGGTTTCTTACCGGGAGTGCTGCCTAGGATCATTGATATGTTATCTATGAATTAGGTCTGAGGCTTACCGTTCCTGCTTTCTCTGAGTGTTGAAAGTTTAGAAGTACTCTTTAGGTCTATCTCAGCATCTCGAGGGTGTAAAAAATTTAGGTTTCTGTCAAACTGTCCTCTTAATCTTTGGCTTCTATCAAGTAATTTCACGTTCATAGTAGATCCTTTGAGAGTTAATGTTTGGACTGCCTTAATATCATTGTTGCGTGTCTTGAGTGAATATCCTGTGTTATTCATATTATGATACTCCCTGAAAGAATCTATGATGAAATGATCAGGATACCTCTCATATCATCATTATTTAATTTGAACTTTAGGCTGTTCAATCATGTAGAATCCATGCTTAAAGTCTCCCTGTGATTGGGCTTCAAAGATAGAAGACTCTTGTAAATTGTAGTTAATCTCAAAAGGTTTTGGATCATTCTCAGGTTCATCTGGTTGATCAATTTTGTCTATTTTCTTTGATGCTTTCCTCAGCTTCTTCCTCTACAAAGTTAAACATTCTTAGTACTATTTTTGAGTTGGAAAGTTTGGCTTTATTTGTTCTGAAATAGCTCTACGAAAGCTAAATAGGACCTCTGGTGGGTAACTTTTGGCTTGGGTTTAGATTTTGATTTTATACTGATAATTATAGAACAGTCAAATTAGTTCTTACCTTGAAAATCCCTTCTTTAATTTCCTAAAACGTTTATACCATCCAAAGTGAAGCTTACTTTATATTGCCGCTACTTCGTAATTGATTAGTGGAAGGAAAGCCATTTATAGAGCTTGATAACTTATTTCTTGATAATTTTCTTTTTGCAGCCAGAGCTGTGATCAAACGTCTTGCTTGATGAATACTGATTTCCATATGGCTTCTCTGAACCTAGCAAGATGTTATTTTAAGATTTTGGAAGATATTAGAGGAAAATTACAGTGATTTGTTCTCATTTTATTCCACATTTTTCTCATAATAAGTTTATTTTATAATCCATACCTTTCAGTTTTATGAAAAATATTAGGGGTTTTGGGGTTTTGGGGTTTTGGGGTTTTGGGG